CTTATATTTCTCCCTCAGTTAGCTTTGTGACCGTAAATTAACCTATTGCATTTTCCTCACCCATATTTTTCAACGTACTGTTCGTGTTATAATTTGCTTGTCCACCTGGTTTGCTCTTATTTAAATAAAACGTTACACTTAACTGAAGAAGTGCGTTATAAGCACTCATTTTGGGCCGTATCAGTATTGGGGTTTTCTTGCGTTGTCTAATACGTATGCTTTGCAGTGCCAATCAGGTCATATTTGTTTAGCAATATGGGTGACTACTTATTCGCTTAAATGGAGGCCATTATGTAAATTCCATATTCAATGGCATCTTTTGTCGTTGCCACCCATCACTCCTCTACCTCTATACGAAGGCACTCCTTGAGATTTTAGTATTCTTTAAAAAAGAGCTTAGATTCGTTTTTTTGTCTACTTTTTGCGATTTTTCCAACAACCAATATATAATTATTTACTTACTTTTCTTCCTTTAATATTTTGCTTAAATTTATTGCTAAACTCTGACGTTCCTCTCACCCCCTCCTTCAGAAGAAGTATTTGCTGAGAGTTATGACGAAGACGGGGCCGCTACTCAGACTCGAATTGACAAGCCGGCATCTACAGCTCCTTCCGCAGATCTCAAAAAGATAAGCCCCGTACCAGTGATCGAGAATGGAATTTTGGTGTACGAGTGTGCCGACTGTCCAAATCAAACGAACCCATATCATGATTGTGTTGCATACTGCTTCGAACGTTACGGCAGGCGCACGTTTCATACAGATCAGCGCCTTGCTAGGCTGCGTGATCGCATGTTGCGTCGTTATCCTTTGCCTAGCCATTGGCTCGAGGTTGCCGATCCAGTCACACAGAGGTATGATCATAAGTCTTTTCAATTCTTATTATTTTTCTCTCCCATGCGTTCGACTGGTTGCTAAAAACAGCCTTACCCACTCTTTAATTTTCGCGTTTGTGTGCGTCGAGTTCGCATCGTGTCACCCCTTCCCTTTAAATGCGTCATCCACTGCGACTTACGGCGCTGTTGACGATGGCAGCCGTGAACCCAGCGGGTTGGCTGGGGTGACTTACCTAGACTATGCTGACTTTGTTGCTCAAGCGGTGACATTCTGTAGGTTGTATCGTCACAATTGAACATGCTTAATTAGTCAGTTTATCTATCAGCACGCGAAAGACCAGAGTGTTTCTGAACTGCTTTGAACTCTTCTGGTTACTGACCGTCCGCCGGGAAAAGTGGCTGCTTTGAAAAGTTTCAGGTGTTATTGCTATCAAATAGCGACATAATCGCCTGAAAAAAAAACATCGTGCGGCTTTCCAGTCCAGAGTAAGTTTGAATGGGGCTGTAGTCATAAAGGGGTGCATGTGTCGGACACCGTCCAGTTAGATCCATTGATTCACCGCGAATGTAGGCATATGCATGTTTATACTGAGCACTTCCATTTATTAATGTCCGAGACAACCGATCCGTCGGTTGAAGTAGGTCGAATTTCTCTCGAGTGGGACGGTTCACATGCGCTGCTGAAGTGCGAGGATATTTCCTCGCCAGTCATGAGTGCATTGCGGTTGTTCTAAACCGAACGCAGCTGCCTACTTTTAGGTAGCGAAGATATCAGCGCAAAAGTGGGCTCTCTGTCAGACGCTGTTTGCAGTTCGATTATGCACTCTAAACCTTGGGCTGATAGAGCTCTTGTTCCGGTGACCGTGTCGACTGCCTCCTAATACGTATTTTTTTTACCAAATGAGTGCGAGAGAGAATGTTTTATGCACGTTTGAATGTTTAAGTGCATGGGAAATCAATGTGAAAGTGCATGCTACTTGCATAGTCAGATAATGTTATTTTTCCGGGCCCTTTTGGAAGCCAGCGTGACTGAAGTATATGGGGAATACTGCACACGGTAGTCAATACTTCAACCTTATAGCGCCTGAGTGAAGTGTGCTGAGTAAGGAGGAAAACCGGTTAAATACCAGAATAATTTTTTTATTGTCTGAGCCTTCGAATTCATGCAGGAGCCCATCGTATGAAATAAAAACAGTTACCAAACAAGCGAAAATTATAGAGGCTGTGTGCAACTCAGTGAAACAATCGTGGATAGGGCTGCGCAGTACTCTGCATGTCGATTCCAATTCGATACATTGATTGACAGCATTTTCATCTGACACTCAGGCTCCAACCAATTCCCAACTCATCTTGCTTTTGGCATGGGCGACTACCTTGGT